GTGAGTTTATTTTGGACATGGCACGGCTTGGTCAACTTTTGGGATATATCTAACCTCTGGAACTGGACTTTGTTGCAGGCCAGTTTTACATTTTTTGCGTGTGTAAAGAAAAATAATTAACCAGTTTCATTGAAATTTAATACTTAAATTTGGGGTGTGAAAACAATGAATCTATAATTTTTTTGGAAAGATCAATACCATATCTACGGTTTGGATCGTTGGAATTTCTTGAACTTTGATATTTGAATTCTGGTTTTTATCGAAATTATCTGGTGGACTTTTCAGGGAATTCGTGTGGCACAAAGCCAAATTTACACTTTTCTAAGTATGTTAGATAAAAGGTTACTAACTTTCTTTAAATTGAAAGAAAGTTTTTAAAATGTATTTTATTCTGCAACACTTTCACTAAACTAGGCAATATACATTGCGGTCGGTTATGGGCTGACCACATCAGTTTTTTAATTCTAATATTATACATACAATATGTTCAAGTCAATTTGGTAACGCACATCCATGTGTGTAGAATACAAAATAAAATGTCTTATTGTGCTTTATTTTTTGAGTAACTCTTTCTCTCAAGAGAAAAGCTTATTTTTTTATTTAATTTCTCCAAATGCACAAATAATTATACAAATTTATTTTTAAGTTATTTAAGATGTTTTTAACGCTATTGTTGTACATGACTTTATTTGATAACTTTTTTCTAAAGTCTCTCAGAAACTTCTTTGGCGCCTATAATCACGATGAGCCGATTTCAGATTCAGATTTCAGAACATTTTAGAACATTCTTGTATCTTTTTAATCACAAAATAATTTTTATAAACTTTTTTAAATCAAACTCAAAAAAATTTTCCCATATAAAATTTTGTAGATCATTTCATGACCTTTTTTCCGATACTTCTCATTCTCATGTATGCATTTGATGACGTTCAACATTAACCAGAAACGACGTGGACTCGGTGCTTCAATTTTAAAATGTTAAATTTCTTAGGAGTTTTGCCTAACTAAACCCTGCTGAATGCCCCTTGTTCGAAATTTCGATTCATTTCAAATTTGCTGAATTCTTTATAAAAAATTCATAATCGGAACAAAAAAAGTAGAAGATTCAAAACAATGTAAAAAATCTGATGTGGTCAGCACATAACCGACCGCATTGTGTATTGTCTAGTTAAATGAAAGTGCTACAGAATATTATAAAAATGTCTGCTAAATACTTCTTTCCAATTTTTAGGACATTAGTAAGCTTATAGTTAACATACCTAGAAAAATGTAAATTTGGCTCTTAGTAGAGTTTCGCTTTGTGCTACCCGAATTCCCTGAAATGCTCGCCAGTTAGTTTCGGTAACAACCAGAACTCAAATATCAAATTTCAAGAAATTCCATCAATTCGTTCCGTAGATATGGTGAAAAATGTAAAATCGGCCCGCAAGTCAGTTTTCGAGCCCTGATCTTTCCAAAAAATTTATATGTTCATTGCTTTAATATGAGGAATTCATATATTAAATTTCAATAAAATCGGTTGATTATTTCTCTTTATATACACAAAAATGTATATTTGGCCCGTAGTAAACGTCTAGTTGCCTATGCCTGATTTCTTCCGAAACATAGGAATTTTCGCGGACGGTCGAGCTGAGCTTATATATAAAATTCCAAGTAAATTGGTTGAATACTTTCTTCAAAATGTTTAAAAACGTAAAACAGGCCCGCTAAAAAGCGCAGTTTCCGAGGCCTGATATATACCAAAAGTTGATCAATCCGTTCAACTTGAGAATCAAAATCGGTTCAAAAATAGTTTATTTACACTTCCCTACTATGGAGAAGTACGTGCCCACCGAAAACTCGATATGCAAAATTTGTAGCCATCACATAACCTACCTATTGTTTACACAATACGGTCGGTAAAAACAGTATTATATTTATAACGTTTTACTATGTATGCTTTTGTAAAACTTTATTATTTGTAGCTAATTTCATAAGTATAACAAAAATAAGAGTTTTTATACCCTGCACTTCGTGAAGGGTATATTAACTTTGGTATGGAGTTTGTAACTACTTGAAGGAGTCATCTGCGGTATGGACATATATATATATTCTTGCTCAGCGTAAAATTCTGCGTCGATTTAGACATGTCCGTCTCTCCGTCCGTCCGTCCGATCGCACGATAACTCAAAAACGAATAATATAATCGACACCAAACTTTCACAAGCTTTTTCTTTTGTGCCAAGGACGAGCCCTATTTTTATTGGATTAATTCGGACAACGGGTTCGGGTAGCTGCCATACAACTCAAAGAGTTTATTTTAAATATTTCAAAAACTAATAAAGCTATAAATATAAAATTTTCTATACATGTGTCCAATTATATTCTACACATGTTCTAAAAATTATAATGGGATAGCTGCACCGGTTCGGGTGGGTGCCATACAACTCCAACAGCAAATTTTTTATATTCGGAAAAATAATAAAGTCAGATTCATGAAACTTGGCAGTCATGTGTCCAATTATAGGTCAAATATATTTCTGAAGTTTTAGAGGAATTGCTTGACAGGTTCGGGTATTTGCCATACAACTCCAGAAGCTATATAGTCAGATACATGAAACTTGGCAGTTGTGTGTCGAGTTATAGGCCAGATATATTTCTGAAGTTTTGGTGGAATTGCTTGACAGGTTCGAGTAGCTCCCATACAAGTGTAAAAGCTTATTTTAAATATTTGAAAAAATAATAAAGTCAGATTCATGAGTTTTGGCAGTCGTGTGTCCAATTATAGGTCAGACATATTTCTGAAGTTTTGATGGAATTGCTTGACGGGTTCAGGTACGTGCCATACAACTCCATAAGCTAATTTTAAATATTTGAAAAAATTATAAAGCCAGATTCATGAAACTTGGTAGTCGGATGTCCAATTATAGGTCAGACATATCCATGAAGTTTCTATAGACTGATTTCACAGGTTCGAGTAATTGCTATACAATAACGAAAGGTGCAGGGTATAATTCAATCGGTTTATACCGAGTGAAACGTTTTTGGTTGGTTGGTTGATTAGAGTGGCCGGTGCGACCCGACTGGCCAACACCCCAATTAGCACTGACGTGCCGTTTTGCTACCACCGCCTCGTGAAACCCGGTTGTCAAAGTACGTTGGTCCAGGGCCAGCGATCAGAGCCACCCCGTTCTTTTAAGGAACTTATTTACGTCCCCGATACTTTTACTAGAAATGTTCCCCAGTTCCATTATGTCCGTTTCCCCAAATGACAACAACCTGGCCCTTTGAAGAGCCGGACACTCGCAGAGATAGTGAAAAAGCGTCTCTTTTTTGTCTATCTCCCGACAACTGCGGCATGACGTATTAAGGGGCATTCCCAGCCTAGCTGCATGATCCCCCACAGGCCAATGCCCCGTGTACACAGCCACTAACTTAGCTATGTCCGGTCGAGGCATCGCCAGGAGGCTCATTGATTTCTTATGGTCGTATTTCGGCCACGTCTTCCTAGCCGTTGCACATGTGCTCAGGCCCCTCCACCTGCGGTCCGCACATGCCACTTGGAAGCGGTATATATCAGTTTTGATGGTGTTTATAGGGACAAGAACTCGCTCGGCCCTGGAGCCGTCCAATGCCGACCCACATCTGGCCAGCTCGTCAGCCCGCTCGTTTCCTGGTATGTTCCTATGTCCCGGAACCCAGAGTACGGTGATACTATGATGACTGCACAATCTCGTCAGCTCATCGTAGCAAAGCCCTACCAACTTTGAGAATATCTTTGGCGAATTTAGAGCCAGAATCGCAGCCTGACTATCCGTCACAATTGCGACCTCCCGGGCCACAACCAAATCCCTTCCCAGGATTTCGCATGCCTTCCATATGGCGAATACTTCCGCCTGGAACACGCTTGATCCGTTGGGAAGGCGATATGACTCCGATATGTTCTGAGTCTCTGAAAATACTCCAGCACCGACCCCATTCCTATCCTTGGAACCGTCAGTGAAGAGAGCAATATCAAAGCCTTGCAGTGGAAGATTTCTTTTCCACTGCCCGCGAGACGGAAGCTCAACCCGAAACTTTTTGTCAAGCTCAAGTCTAGGGATGCAATAGTCTGTAGCATCCGCAACCACTCCGTCCGGTAGTGACTGAAGGACATTGCCGTGGCCATACGGCCTTTCGTGCCAGCACTCAGCTTCTCTGAGTCCAACGGCGCCTGCCGCGGCCAGATTCTTAATATGGATGTCTGGTGGAAGCAAATGGAGGAGTACATCCATAGCGTCCGTGGGCGTCGATCTCAATGCCCCCGTAATGCTTATGCATGCAGCCCTCTGTACCCTACCGATCTTGGTACAGTTGTAAGCTTTCCCCAACGCCGGCCACCACACGAGTGAACCGTAAGTTAATATAGGTCGTACAATGGCCGTGTATAACCATAAAACCATTCTAGGTTTATAATTTCCGTGTATAACCATTAAACCATTCTAGGAAACGTTTTTACTTGTTTATAATTTCTTCAGCACATTTTTACAAAATGGAATAAGCGTATGTTTTTTAATTTTATTCAATTCATTCATCCGTGCGTTTTTAGGCTGAAATTAAAAAAAAAAAAACGCGTTTCTGCAAAAGAGCTGCTTGTCTAGTAGAAAAACTTTTCCTACCCGTATGGAGGTAGGTTTTAATAACCAGGTAGGATCTCATAACTTGAAAAATGTATTTTTTTTTTGGCAACTAACTGTGCCGAAAATCATTATCAATAACACACTGTAATATGGTGAAATAATCTTAATTAGATAAAAATATTGTTGAACTAAACTGCTAACTTATGGCTTTCTTTTCCTGAATTTTTTTTAAAGCGTTTCCAAATTCAAAAATGGAATTATTTTATTAAGATAACAGCTAACGGGAAATGTTTCTTCCATCAAAAAATATAATTATCTTAAGCTATTTAACTGCACTTCAAATTTGCCCATTATATCAATTATTATTCCTACAATTTCGGTTTCCTACAATTAAAGGCCGAAATGAGTAAACAGACCAATAAAGCTTCATTAATCTCTGGCTGTTTACGACAGGTCGTATGGAGAAACAAATACATGTCACAGGAAGCAAAAGTCAAAATATATAAGACATGTGTACGACCAATTTCAACGTATGCTTTAGAGTGTAGGCCAGACACTTCCATAACAAAACAAAAATTAAGAGCCACTGAAATGAAAACTTTACGGCAAATCTGTGGTAAAACTCTACGTGATCAGATCAGAAGCGCAGAAATCAGGAAAAGCTGTAAGATCCCCGACATTGTACGATGGGTACGAGGTAGAAGACGCGATTGGAGGGATCATGTTGAAAGAATGGATAACAATAGATTGGCAAAAATTGCATACACGGAAAAACCATACAGTCAACGACTTCCAGGTCGCCCTCCAAAACGATGGAAACAATGCTGGTCATCAATTTCACAAGAACAACCATAGTAAAATACACATCCGAACACACAAAATAAATACCACAATCAAATCACATATGTCAACTAGCAACTACATCATCATATCCTAAACAACAACCATCATCATATCTTGGATAACAACAAATATAATAGTAAGACCGACAAATGTATCAAGAAACAGGGAAACCTATGACAAAGAAGAAGAAGAAGAAGAAGAAGAGGAGACAATTTCGGTTTTTAGCTTTTCTTTTACTTTTCCAAAAAATTTAAAATAAAAAATGCTTATTAATTTCACTCTGCCCGTCCATCGGTCTGTCCGTGTGTTTGTTTACAAAGTTTCTACACCCTCCAAGATAGAAAGCCGAAATTTTATGTGCACGTACATCTTTACTAAAAACTTGTTTCAAGTAGAAGAAAATATTTACCTTTCTTCCTCTTCTTCCACTTAACACCCTAAAAATGCCCTTTTTTAACTATTTATTGCAGGAAAACAATAAGCACTTTTAAACTTTTGCAAGCTCAGAAAGGCAGTGCCTTGCTTTTTCTACCGCGGCATACCACATTTGAAATTTAAAAAAACAAAATGGCTATAAGAATTTACTTTTATTTAAAATTCACTTTTTTTAAATTTTTAAAGTCGTTTTTCTTCTAGACCCTAAGGTTGTAAAAGTTTGAAATTTTTAACAGCTTTTAGACACTAATAAATAGTTTATTTCTAAAAAAAAATTTTTTCCACCTCCACCGCCACTCAAGTTATCATCACCTCTAGAAATTTGTAAAATTCGAATTATTGGATATTTCCGAAACTGCACACTTTCCTAAATTTTATAAATGCGGAAAGCTAACGGTAAATTCCATGTCATTAAAAAATATAATTAATTTTCTTAACTAACACAACTAACCATTAAAATCTAGCATTACGTCAAAGCCTACCTATGTGTACCCTATGTATAAAAAACTTAAAGAGGTATGAAGTTTGTAACCACTTGAGGAAGTCGTCTCCGATATGGACATATGTATATATTTTTGCTCAGCGTAAAATACTGCGTTATTTTAGCCATGTCCGTCCGTCCGATCGCACGACATCAAACTTTTACAAGTTGTTTCTTTTGAGCAAGCGACGGCTGCTACTGTAATTTGACCAATTCGGTAGCTTTTATGCAACTCAAAGCGTTTTTTTTAAATATTTCTTAAACTAATAAAGATATTAACACCAAATTTTGCAAAGGTCTGGCCAATTAGGCCCTACATATGTTTTGAAATTATTTTAATGGAATGGCTGCACTGGTTCGGGTAGCTGCCATACAGCTTCAAAAGCTAATTTTAAACATTTGGAAAAGTAATAAAGCTAGAATAATGAAATTATGCAGTCGTGTGTCCAATTAATAGGTCACATATATTCCTGAAATTTTGTTGAAATGACTTGACATGGTCGAGTGGCTGCCATACAAATTCAAAAGCTAATTTTAAATATTTGGAAAAATAATAAAGCTAGATTAATGAAACTTGGCAGTCACGTGTCCAATTATAGGTCACATATATCCCCGAAGTTTTGGTGAAATGACTTGGCATGTTCGAGTGGCTGCCATACAAATTCAAAAGCTAATTTTAAATATTTGGAAAAATAAAAAAGCTAGATTAATGAAACTTGGCAGTCACGTGTCCAATTATAGGTCACATATATCCCCGAAGTTTCGGTGAAATGACTTAACAGGTTCGGGTAGCTATCATAGAATTCCATAAGCTACTTTTGGACTTCTTCATGAAACTTGGCAGTTGTGTGTTCAATTATAGGTCACACATTTCCACGCTGTTTCTATAGAGTGGTTTGTCTGATTCGAATACTTGGTAAGGAACAATGAGAGCTAATTCTAGATATTTTAAAAACAAATTTTGAACTCAGATTACTAAGGTGCAGGGTATAATTCGGTCGTTTTATACCGACTGAAACGTTTTTACATGTTTTTACTTTATTTCAAAGAGTGCATAAACCGAAATCCGAGTACACAATTCGTTCATCCGAAATGTATGCAATCCTTGAGTTTCAAAAGCAAATATTAATAAGGTGGTTCATACTTAGATTGTTCTTAAAAACAGTATTTTCACTTGTGGATGGTGCTACGGCACAAACCATTGGTTTGACTCTACTTTATTATCTTAATGTTATGCAATAATTTTATTTTAATACACAAATATTAATCAGAGTAATTATTCAAATCAAAATTCTATTTTTTTAATAATTGATTTTATTTGTTCAATGGCAATATGCTACTTTACAAAGTATTGTTTTGTTCTCAACTAATTGTGGTACAAAGTAAATATTATAATTTAGTAATGTTTTAAACTTTTAAAAACACTTAATATATCTAATAGACATACGTTTCAGCCAATTGCTCTGTGAGCAGATACATACATGGTTATCCCAGTTTTCAAAAATTTGTGATAGTACTCGTATTTTGTAGGCACAATAATAAATTATTCAAAAAGGAAGAACTTAATGCCTTCATAAAGAACTAAAAGATCAAAAATAACGTGTGATCTGCTCTTAGGAGTACTTATGTATGTACAAGTATTTGCTACCCTCTATATTCATTATTTTGGAAAGTTCTCTTGAATATTTTTCTTATATAAAATGTGTTTACAGATTTCATTATAATCAACACCTTTAGTGAAAATATTTAACATAAACATTTTGATAAACATTAAGTGAACGCAAATAAGGGAAAATCAGTAAATCTTATACGTTATATTTTATGAACGATAGATACACTTTCTTATAATTCTTATACCAATTTCTTATAATTTTGCTTATTATGGATAAAAATATTACTGCCTTGAAAATTTCATATATTATTGTGAACAAACGACGAAATTATTTGCTTATTTACTTTTCTTTTGTGTATTTTTTATTAAAAATAAATAAAACAACATTTTCAAAGCTTCGAATTGTGTAAGTATATGTGGCGAAAAAATCTTTTAATATTTAATAATTTTTATCATTTTCTAAAAATTTGAAGTGTCGGTGTGGAGAATCGAAACATGTTCACTCTTATTTTGATTTTTTTCTACTAGTGGAAAATTTCCGCTTATCGGAAAAAAAAAATCTTTTAACATCATTACTTTTCACTCCAATTTTTTTCTGGCGATAAGTGAAATATTTGCTTATTAAATGAAGTGTATAGGGGGTGTTTCGCATAATTTGGGAATCATGCGACTTTTAGTAACCATCGGGGGCTGATTTCACAGTAAACTGATTACTATTTATTTTCGAGATAAAGCTCGTCAAAGTAAGAATTTTTGTTATTTTTTTTTTAATTCGAAATTTCTCGAAAATTTTTGTTATTTTTTTTATTTCTTTCGATGCGCTACAATAAGACTAAAAATTAACCCATACAACAGACGTCAATATGTGTAGAACACAAAGTAAAATGGAACAAAATGAAGTGTTTCCTCTCTCTCTCCCATAGTTTTGCCAATAAAATGCGTTAAATGTGTTTAAAAAACATGCGAAGGTTATTTTATGTCGCATGGTTCTGAAGTTAAAAGCATTTATTTATATGCAGAAAAAATCTGGTACTTTTTTTTCAACAGGCTGTAGCTCGAAACCAGTATATCTGCCCTCCCGCTGCACCATATAATGTTTTGCTGGAAATGTACCAAAGGATTATTTCTGAACATATTTATGCGCAACACCCTATGCGTAAAAGCCTGAATTATTGTATTTTGAAAAAAATAATTCAAAGAAATATGTTGCTTGTTTTTTTCAGGTTGAAGATTTACTCTAATCGAAATGAATTGAATTATTACAATTTTTTTTGCAGATTTTTTGCAATATTGACTATAGGACTATTATGAGACTGTAAAATTTAGACAACATTTCAACAAAGCATAAAAAATTCCCCTTCTAGTGAAAATTTTGGTTCCTTTATAAACATACATTTTTAGTTGTGCTGAAACATAAAAATTAAAATAAGTTACTGTGGGTATATTTGATATTATGTAAGTTTATATAATTACCGTAATCATTTTTAAAAAATAAACAATTAAAAACCAATAAAATTAATAAAATGATTCTAGGTTTTTACATGCTTTGTTGAAAATTCATGAACAATGTTTAATTTAAACGAAGGAAACACAAAAATTGGTTGATTATTTTACTAAATTAAAAAAATGATGTCCAGATAGACTCATTAAACGAACAAAATTCAAAATACGTGTCCGTTTTCAATTCAAAATGAGTCCTTTTCATGGCAACCATAAACGTAAGTATTACTTCTCTTCTTCAACAGTAATAATATTCAACTTTAAATTTAAGCTCCGTTTTTTATACATAACTTATATGTATATAATGTATGTATATGTGTAATTATATTATTGTGACACAACGAAAAAGGAAATCATAATAATTGTTTAAGAATATTAGTACTCGTATAAATGTTTTCATGTTTCAAATCAGAGGAACGAAAGCAAAATTAAAAATGTAGAAATAAACTTAAGACTGATGAGTCTCTAAGGAAAATTTTACCTAATTTTTTTTTTCTAAATTAAATAAAAAATTCGAACCAGTAAAAGTAAAAATAAATTAACTATATGGATAATTATCTATAAGATTTCTGTTGGTTCTTTTAACAACATATATTTTTTGTCTGGAAGGTTTACTAAAAATTTGAACAAGATCATAGCTTACTAGTGTGTCTAATTTTGGATTATATTTACCGACCGCATTGTGTATACAATAAGGTAGGTTATGTGATGGTAATCAATTTTGCATATCGAGTTTTCGGTGGAAAACTTTTATGTTTTACGGTTAAAAACTTTTTTTAGCAATCTGTCGGTCTGTGTGTACGCGTGTATCTCAAGTTTGATTGTATCGATTTTCATGAAATTTAATATGTGAACTTGTTTTAGCTATGCCACGGATTGATTAACTTTTGGGATATATTAAGCTTTGGGAACTGAACTTTTTTTGCGGGCCAATCGATTTTTGCTCTTATAAAGAGAAACAATCTACCAATTTCATTGAAATTT